GATGGGTTCATCCCCGCGAAAGGCACCCTTGTCGTTGTTCCTGGAGTAGTTTTGCGACAATGGGAGTTGGAAATCAAGAAATTCTTGGGGTCCAGGTATAAGTTTCTTGTCATTGGCTCAGTACAGAACCTCTCAAAGGTATCCATCAAAAATATCCTTCTCAGCGATATCATATTGGTGTCTTGGACTGTCTTCAACGGCGATGCCTACTACAACAAATTGAGAAATCTCACTGGAACGTCACGGGCGCCTGGGAATAAGGCTCGCGATTTTGAGAATTGGTTCACGAATGCACTGGCTTCGCTGAAAGATCTAGTTCGTGTCCTGACAGGAAAAGGCCCCGGTGCCTTTCTCGATGCAATCCGCTCAAAGCGCCAAAATGCCGAAGTAAGCCAGAGGCAGGCCACATATTTGCCGTCTAGGCGTTTTAGAGGGAAATCATATGTCGATGCGGTCCAAAACCGGTGCAATAGTGTTGATTGTGAGGAGTATGACGGCAACATCTCTAGCGCTGAAGAAGATGCAGACCATATGGAAGATGAAAGCGACGAGTCATTGAAGGCTAGGGTGCACCAGTGTTTAAAATTTCTGCCTTCGAAGATGTTAGTCCCTGAGGGTGATGATGATCCTGAAGACTCAGCCAGCCCAAGCTCAGCATCGGATGATCCTGAGGGACAGGTACCGTCAAGTACCAGCAACAAAAGCAGGAAACCTGGCCGCTCGGGGTCTAGGAAGGAAGTCTGCAAGACATGGAACGACCTGAAGGAGTTCAATATCAATGGCCAGCCCGATCAGGCTTGGAAAGAGGTCAAGATTCTTTGCCTCCATGCTTTTGCTTTCAGTCGCCTTATCATTGACGAGTTCACGTACGCGAGCGATGAGAGACTCGAATCCTTCCTGGCACTCGAAGCTGGCTCGAAATGGATCTTGTCGGGAACTCCGCCTTTGAATGATTTTGCCGATGTCACGTCCATTGCAACATTTATGGGGGTCCATCTAGGGATAGACGATGATGAGTTCAAGTCGCAGAACGGTCGACTCAGGTTGCTGTCTAATCAGCGATCCGATGCAGAGAGGTTCCAGTCCTACCGAACGACCCACAGCGACGCATGGCATCAGAATCGCCACGAGGTTGCACAAAGGTTTTTGAGTCGGTTTGTTCGCAGAAATGTTCCGGAGATTGACGAGATTCCCTTCACTGAACATGTCATCCTAATCCGCCCAACACCGGCTGAACAGGCACTCTACTCCGAGATGTACAGGCAATTGGAAGCATGTGATGGCAAGCTCCGCCGTCAGGTCAAGTCTCGATTCAATGGCGATCAGGCTAGTCGGCTAGATGCAATCCTGAGTACTAGCACGAGCTGCGACGAAGCACTACTCAAGCGCTGTGCTTGTCTCGCTGTCGTTGGTGATTGGACGAAGACCCGGGGACCAGAAGTCACGACTTGCGAATCTCTCATTGAACTTAGGAAAAAGGAGATTGCCGACCTGCGAGAAGAACTCGTGGAGAAATTGAGACTAGCGGCGTGGATGTACTGCGAATGTGATTCACAGTCTGCAAGGTTTGACAAATTCGTCGACGCCGTCACCGGTCACAATTTTGGCGACAACTCGGTGACAGAAACCGTTTGCTCTCTTTTGGACGATGCAGTCCGCTCATCGAACCCGAGCCATTGGAAAGAATTCTTCGCACCTCCGACCAAAGTCGATCCACAGCAGTCGGCAGACAAGCAGGACAAGGGCAACCCTGGTACTCAGAAACGTGCAGCAAGAGGAAGATCATCGAAGGCCCCGCAGTCAAAGAAGACCGCCGGCCAGGGAGAGAACGATAACAGCAAAACCGTACTCCCAGCAAGACCTGCAGGATTGGCCGAGATCGAGCCACAGCTGCGTGAAGTTACAACTGCTATGAAAGGGATGATTGACGAATGGGTTTCGCGCAAGCGTGGCGTAAGATTTCTCAAGAAGGCACGGTCGATGCAAATCTGCGGGCAGATTTCCAAGTGCTCTGGTTGCAATAGCCGGCCTGACTCTCTCGACCAGTTAAGCTTACTAGGTTCTTGTGGTCATTCGCTTTGCAAAGACTGCATCTCGCAGGCTGTGCAGAAAGAGGAATGCAGTGTGGAAGGATGCCGCGGTTCCGGCAAGGGCTACAATGTCATCCCGATGGGCACGCTGGAGCGCGAGACTGTCGACAGAGAGACCGCATTTGGCGGCAGCAAACTCGACAAGCTGATTGAGATCATCCGCGGCACTCCGCAGGGCGAGCGGGTCCTCTTATTCATTCAGTTCCCGGATCTAATGCAAGCCGCCGCCAAAGCATTGAATCTCGCCAAGATCAAACACACCATGATCACAGCAGTGGAAGGTAGGTCTACCGCGAAGCTCGACAAGCTACAGGCGAGCGGATTCGGGCAGGCAAAGGTGTTGATTCTGAACCTTGGAACCGAGTTGGCTGCGGGATTGTAAGTCAGAGCCGATTCCTCTCGCAAACGTTTCGTGGGTGTCTAACCATGAATTATAGGAACTTACAGCAAGCAAACCACGTCATTTTCCTGTCACCCCTGCTGACGCAGACTCAATATGATCACGACTCGACTATGACCCAAGCCATCGGCCGCAGTCGACGGTTCGGTCAGACCAAGCATGTTCACATCTATCACCTGCTGGCCAGGAAGACCATTGATGTGACCATCTTCGAGAACCGTCGCGACAAGGCTCTTATTGAGAGGGGTGAGAAATCCGTACTGGTCACGCCCGAGGAAGTCGCAGATGAAAAGACAATTAGTCGTGGGGGACAACCACTGATTTAAGACGAGGCGACTTAGGTTTTGTTTTGTTGATGATTTGTTGGTTATTCGGCGATCAGCATTTGGTGTCGATCCTGAATCTGTCTTGTCATTTTGAATGCCATTTATGTACGAGTTAACGACAGCCAAATTGCAGCGATATCAGTCAAAGCAGACTCAGGGATGTTCTTACCAGTACTTGCTCAGTAGGCTTTTCAAGGACATGTGGACAACCCCATGGTAGGATTCCACGGGCATCTTCCTCAGATGCCTATAAGGCGCTTAAGATCATGTTGGGGAAGGTGCAACCGACCCTTACACCCGAAATTCCGGTGCAGGGGTCGGTTGGGGAAGGAATTGAGATCGTACGGAGATCGAGCACAAAGCCCAGAAATATTGAAGGCGTGTTGTCGCTGCCGGTCACATGATTCCTAACTTTGATGGTGTCTGACGACTAAGCATGTTATAATAAGCTTGTCTTTCGATTAGTCGTATAATCTGGATCAGGAACACTTTTCAGGTAAGGAACCCAGAGGCGACGCGATTTCGGTAAATGAATAACTAAAGGACTCCATTGGGTACTGCTAACACAACCTTCTATGGCAGATCAAATGACTCCCACCATGACCCGGTTTTCCTCCTTACGCAACGGGAAGCAAGCGAATATGAAGCACAACGTACTGTACATGAGCATCATCCAAGTTGTTGCCGTGTCTGAAATTTACCGGCCAGGAATATTGTTCGAGATCAAGAGAAAAATGAGATATAGAACGATGAAAAAGGGGAAAACATGAGGGAAAAACTATCGAACCTTCCAACGCACGGCATCGAAAACTGTATTCAAATTATAGGCTGACATTCATTTATTGCGCGGGCTGATCCAAGGCTCCATCCTTTCTCATCATCGTCTCCGGGTCCCAGACGGGCTCCACCAGGTTCGTCAGGCCGGCGCTGTTCTCGCAGGTCTGTCTGCCGGTCAACGGGCCAGGGGCGGGCACCTTAACGGACTGGCCGGCCTCAGCAGCAATGGCCGACTCCTTGAGCGCGGTGAGGAGAGTCTTGATCGATTCGGGGGTGAGATCCTCGTAGTAGTCGTCGTTGATCTGGACCATGGGGGCGTTGACACAGGCACCCAAGCACTCGACCTCGACGAAGGTGAAAAGACCGTCTTCGGTGGTGTGTCCGGGGGTGATGCCGAGGTGTTCCGTAATAGCCTTGACGATCTTGTCGCTACCGCAGCCACCGAGCTGGCAGGGTGTCTGTAGGCGGCGGTGTCAGTAACTGCGCGCGGTTTGAAGCAAAGGAATGGGTTTCAAGACGTACCGTCGTGCACAGCTGGACAAAGTACTTGCCAACGGGCTCCCGGTTGTACATGGTATAGAAAGTTGCGACTTCGTAGACACGCATGGGGGGCATCTCGAGGAGGCGGGCGACCTCGTTCATGACGCTGATGCTGGTGTAGCCGTGCTGGCGCTGGCCCAGGTCGAGAATGGGCATAACAGCACCCTTCTTGTACTGAGGAGGATAGCGCTTGAGGATCTCATCGATGAGCTTGAGGTTCTGGTCGTTGAACTTGAAAGGGACGGACGGGTTGTTGTCGGGCTTGTTGCGGTGCTAGTGAACCCAAACCGTTAGCCTCAATTATCGCAACCACAAAGACGGCGTCTCCTATTTGGCGATTGTGAACGAAGGAATATCCGATACAACCGCGAAATCCGGATGGTAACCACGCTGGCGGATGCAATTGCACATACCACGGCAAGGGAGTCGCTGCAGCGTTGCGGACCAGCCGAGAAAGGTCTGAATTGAGTCTTGGGGAAGTTCTGGAAAAGCTGGCGGCCAGTCCGCGGGACGGCAGGGAAGAGTTTGGAAGCCATTGCCGGTAGCGACGGGGAGAATTGAGGGGGTATGGGGGGCGAGGAGAAGAGATTCGATCTGATGGATTGAAGGTGAGCGCTCGACTTGGAGTCGAAGAGGCGTTTTGCGGAAGCTACAGCTGACCAATCACCGACGACAGATTACTCCCCGCCTTGTGCCAATAAAAGAGAATAACTCAACAGCATCATGCTTTCAATTTCACCATCGCCTCGACCGGTTTTCCACCTCTACGGAGAGGTTCAATTCTCGGTTGAATACTTGCGATGAAATATTTGAGACTAATGACAGCCACTACCGTAAATATCTGAAAACGCGAAATCCCCCCCCCCCCCCGAAACATCATAACGCCGCACATGCGTCCTTGGATTCCAGATCAGATTACACATTCTCCATCTTGTAAACCTCATACGCAACCTCTTCATACGGATGAGCCTTCACCAAGGCCTCCACAGCCTGCAGCATAATCGACCGTCCCAAGCACATGACCTCCACCTTCATCTCCTCGACATACTCCACGTCGCCGACCGAGCCAATTGCGGGATTGGCACCCTCTCCTGGCAGGAATTGTCCGGTTCCCCGTGTCTGGAAGCAGCATTTGGAATACTTGCCGCCAGGAAATGTTCCGGCACCAGTAGCGAACACCGCATCCTTGCAGACGTCAAGGTGGGAGTGCGGCACGAAGAAAACGAGTTTGTAGCGGTCGGGAATATGCTCGGTAGCCATATTTCGGACACGATGGGATTGAAAGGTTGGGAGTTTGTGTAGAAGCTGGGAGGTCTCGATAGAAGCGGGGTACCGGTAGATGGTGGTAGCAGCAGCTTTAGATACGGTAGAGGAAAAGGTTGGTCTTGAGAGGGGGAATCTCGAGGATGAGCAAGTCCGGATGAAGTGGCGTAGAAGAGGCTGCGATACAATCGCACGGGAAGCTGGACGGCCCAACATTGGCATGAGGGGTTGCTGCGGCTTCACCAGGGGTCTGCTACACGGTTGACTTCATCTGCCCGAAGCGCAGCTGATACAGTGACGTCCTCACGGTCCTAGAAGCTTGGCGATCCTTGTAGTGTTCGTTACTAATCTCGCCCTGACTGATAAATCCGGCGATAGAAAACGAGCCTACGTCGCAAGGCTCACACGCGGAAATGAAGTCGGTCGTCAACTTCACATGAGTATCTGCATTTTCGCTCCCGTCTACCAGTAGGAATTGAAGTTAAGCCTTACGAGACTGCAATGGTTCATGCGCATCATCATCATCTCATTATATATACCGAATCTATATGAACTCTAGTCTACAGATAACTATACTCTAAGCCAGAGTAGCGAACTTCTCGACGTGGGCATCGATCCGCTGCAGCAGTTCCTGCTTGCGGTCCTCGCCGATCCAGCTCTCGGTGACACTGTTGACGGCAATTGTCTTCCACTCATTCACGGAAAGATTGAACGCCTCGTGGACAGCGCAGTAGTTGTCCAGGATGTAGCCACCGAAGTAAGCCGGGTCATCGCTGTTGAGCGAGAACTTGACACCAGCGTCCAGGAACTTGCGGATGGGCACCTCCGCCACCGTCTTCACGCACTTGAGCTGAACGTTCGACAGAGGGCAGACGGTCAACAGGATGTTCTCGCGAGCCACACGCTCCATGAGGGCCGGGTCCTCGACGAGCCGGATGCCATGGTCAATGCGCGTCGCGCCCATCTCCAGGGCCGCGGTGATGTAGGTAGGATCACCCTCCTCACCCGCATGGGCGGTGAGACGAACGCCCTTGGCCGATGCGGACAGGTAGATCTCGCGGAACATATCCTTGGGAGGGCCGACCTCGGAGGAAGAGTAGCCGAGGCCGTGGATCACCTCGGTGTCGAAGTGGTTGTTGTCGAGGATGTTCTGGTAGGTCTTCTTGGCAGACTCAACGGGGAGGTGGCGAACGAAGCACAGGATGAGGCGGGTGGAGAGGCCGAGCTCCTGCTCGGCGCGCTTGCAGCCGGCCACGAAGCCGGCCACGATGGTCTCGTAGGGAATGCCACGGTCCTGGTGAACCTGAGGGTCGAAGAAGACCTCGGCATGGTGCACGCCGTCGGCGTGAGCCTTCTTGAAGTAGGCCCAGGCCAGATCGGCGAAATCAGATTCCTGGATGAGCACGGACATGCCGATGAAGTAGAAGTGGAGGAAGTCGTCCAAGGAGCTGAAGTGGCCATATCGGCTAGTCAAAGTCTCGATAGACTCGTAGGCGGGTTCCGACTTGGGGTCGGGAAGCTGGACTTGGTTCTTCTCGGCCAGTTGGAAGATCAGCTCGGGGGTGAGGCAGCCTTCCAAGTGCACGTGGTGCTCGCACTTGGGAAGGCCAAGGAGGAAGTCATGCCAGGAAGATTGACACATATTGAATTGTTTTATAATTAAAGAAAAGAAAAGGGTATCTTGGAGAAGACGCAATGCTTGATTTGGAAAAAAGTACCTAGCAAGAAAAACAGCAAAGAAAATCACGAAAGAAAGGAAAAGACTTTGCGGGAGCATCTGAATATAAGGTGTGCACCAGGCTCCATTTTTGCGGAAATCCTAAGGAGATGGTCTCCCAAGATGGCTGCTCGTCCGACACGGGTGGATTCAATTGGGTCTCACAGTCGGAATAAAGTCAACAGTGTGGATTGCAGTTGGTCGGCAGCGATCCACCAGGGCGGAATTCTGCAGCCCTTCTGGAAGCACGATCCATGATAAGCTTGTTTGGTGCGGGTGAGAATTCCAGGCACGCCCGCACTTCGGTCACATCCCGAGCCGGAATCGGCCGATGGCCCGGAGGACGGAGAGTCTGCTCCTTGGGTAGCATGGCAACCCCTGGCCACTATAACACAAGCCTAAGTCGTGGAGCAGAGGATTCGGTATTCATACCACCGTTCTAAGGAATATCTGTTCTTGTTGACTGCAAAAATTGTGTTAGGAGATTTGAAGTAACGACGTGCTGCGGTCGACCTTGAGAGGTCCGTAGTGGGGGAGGAGAAGATACAACTATCGTCCTGTAGATGCGTTATATAATACGTTAGCCATAAATTATACGCCGTAGCTACTCCAGGGAAGGACTTTCAAGGAATGACGGGGATAAAAGGGCATTTATAACTGGAAACTCGGGGTAGGGACCGGATTTCTTCGGTATTGGGAAGATACCCGGATCTTTAGACCCTTAATTCTGCAGGATCTAGAATCACATTCGAACACGCATGTTCTCGTGCCTCCTCCGTTTCATAATGCATAAATGAATTTTCATTGGTTGATTTGACCATTTCGTTATCACAAGAGAGATGGAGTCAGATATCAGATATATACATTGCTCTCGACATACGTACATCAAGTCTAGCGTAGGAATATACTAATCTACAATAAACCAAAGTCATACCCGACCACCAATCCTCAAGCATGAGCCATCAACCTCTGTAAGAAACAGCATCCCGCTCACGCAACGGCAACATATCCTCTTGCAAGGCACCGTCATCCTCCGGTATCGTCTGCATGCCATGCTTATCCTTTCGCTTCCTGCAGCAAGCACAACAGAAGACCTTGCGCAGCGGACTCGGGGGCATCTTCGCGTCGGGTCCCTTAATGATCGCCCCGGGATGGACGATGTTCCATACGACGATGGCACACCCCATGGGCACGGCGTCAAACACGTACATGTACCACTCATGGCGCGGGATGGGATTGGAGGCGTCGTTGCCCGAGGAGAATTCCACCAGCCGGTAGATGATGCGCACAGTGATGAACAGCAGACTGGTGTACAGGACATACAGCAAGCCGCGCCAGTGAGCCTTGGGGCCGACCAGTCGACCCTGGCATGTCAGGTTGAGCATCTGGCGGTGGAACTGGACGGCGATGAAGAGGAAAAGGATGATGAAGAACTGCTGGATCCCGATCCCGCCCATGTAGATGTGAATCCCCTTCATCATCGTCGCATTGTCCGCCCCGGGTCCCGCCATGCTGCCGCCGATTAACTGGATGACGAAGGAGCCTAGGTCCAGGAGGACGAATATGATCGCTAGCAGGGAGGGTTTGAAGATGCCGATTCGACGGTCCGGCACGAAGAAGTAGATCATCCGTGCCAGAACCATGTAATCGAATGCATTCACCCCTAAGAGGATGGTTAGTAGGCTCATCTGGATCTAGAAAAGAGATTGTGTGTGAGAGATGTACGCACATAACGGAGATAGAAGAATGAACAGCTGGGTGATAGTGGCAAGAGTCGTGTCCTGCTGACTGCGCGTACTCAGCGTGCGGGTGATGAACCCTACACACTCCCCGATTGCGCTCATCAAGATAACCCAAACGAACCCTGCCTTGTGAATAGTGGCTTGAACAAATTGGGTGACCATCAAGATGCCGAAGAGAACGGAGAACGCGAGTGCGGCACCAAAGGATGGGTAGTACTGGTACAGGGCATTGCACTGGTCAGGAGGAACATAGCCGTTGGCATCCGGAGAAACAGTCGGGGTGCAAGTGTTGGAAGGCAGATCCAGCGACAGACTGAGGCTGAAGGGCTTGATGGAGATGGTGGGAACGTCAATTGTGATATGGGGGTCATAATCATTGGTGGCAGTGGCTCTTTGCTGGAGACCAGCATTGGTCGTTGTAGAATGAGTTGGGGTAGGGGCTGGAGTCGGCGCAGCCACAGCAACCACTCGCTTTGCCGAATGGAGTAGCAGAAGAAGTAATGAGAGTTGCAGACGCATATTTGATTGAGGTGGTTTATAGCAACCCGGAGAAAGAATCACAATAAACACAATGAAGCGGAAGGTGACATGGAATTGAAGAGGCATTGAAAAGAGGTTGAAAGACGATCAATACTTGCTGATATAGGTTGAAGCATTCAGGGCTCGTCTCATTCTACCACTGGATTAGGTGACTGTGATAATCCATTGTTGATGTTATTCTTGCTGCGGTGATACACAATCGGTCCGCTATGATTCTATTTCTAGCGTCCGCTACTGCAGAGATACAGAGTTGCCTATAATCTTGAGCCCCAGCTGGCAGAGTAGACCAATCGCAACGAAGGGCGACAATGGTGCCTTGAGATAGAATCTATGCCCTGGCTTCATCCAGAGATCAAGCGTCAAACAACAAGGCCCAAATCCCTCCCTCCACAAATCTGAAGTGAGATCCTCCTAGGCTGCCGGATAAATAGTCCCTCTCCATATCCTCAGCCTGACTGGTAATTGGTTAGAAATCAAGTCAAGCAAAGGACCTCGACTCAAGCTGCTGTAGTTGCAGTCTATCTTTGTTTCAGCTTCATACACCATGGGCATCCATCCGTCACAATAAGCTTAGGCCTTGTGTCTCAAAGACCGCATCGCTCAGCAGGTGGAGAAGAAGTAAGCACTAAGCCTTGAAGAGCTACTTGCATCCTATTAATAGCACCACTTCATGTCAATATCATGAGTGCCCCACATCAGACCAGATCATCTCCATGAAATCCAGTGTTGAAAGGATTCACTAGCTTAACCCTTAATTGAATCCTCCTGTGGCTGTGTAAGTGGATAGTGCTTTGAGGCTTGTCGGTATAGCTTTGGCAGTAGCCGGCGGAATTATACAAAGGCAAAACAGACTACTTGGTCGTTATAGCTGCAAAATAATATTAACCTCTGCCTGCAGCAGTCAAGTCCAGGATTGTCTAGATCCATTGGCTTGGCGAAGCGGTGGGTATATGTTCTATCGAAAATGAGGACACTTTGGTAGCTGTGGCCTCGGAATTTCGCCATGGATATTACTTTGTGCTCGAAGTATCTGAGTGGTACAGTTAACGTCGTTCTCCATCATTCTTATCCAAAGACTGACTCTCCTGACGGCTCCATCCCGTGCTAATGCGCGGGTTCAAGATGGTTCGTGAGGTTTGAGAAACCAGCCGCCATCGATTACCGGGTAAGTAATCAGACAGACGCAAAGGTAATCTCCTAGGAAATGGAACTCTAGGATGACTACAATGTAGTAATGGAAACTTAGTTTTCGATTGTCGTGGGTCCCCGTCCTGGGCAATTCTCACCCCCAACCGTGCCTCAGCTTGCATTCACAGACGCCCAACCGCTCATGTGGACTCGTGATCATCAGCAACATCACGGAGTCTGACGGGGTATGTTAACGAAGAGAGAAATAACAGTCAGTCAGGTCTCTTGTCAAATGCTGTTGCTACGAATGTTTTAGGACTTCGACTTCGTGCGTGTACAGTGCGCGTATGTTTCCCCGGATTTCATGCTCTCTCAACCCACCCGACCCACCCCAAGCCCCAAATCCCTGAAAATTGCGTACTGATCTGCATATTTAGAGTTATCAGATCAAACCTTTCAAGGCTTACGAAACTCTTTGTTCAAGACACAGCATAAGTAAGAGCTGAGAGACCATCAACTCTATACTCAGTAGCCCTGCAACCCACATGCACCCTCAGCTTAGCTAAGAAATGATTTTGAAAAAAAAAAAAAAAAAACCGAAATTGTTCATAACGAATCGTATCTAGAATTTATGCCCATCTAACGGTCTCCAAAAATGACCGCCCAGAAATAGATGCCAAGATTAAAAACAAAGCTAAAGGTATGAAAAGAAGAAAAAAATAACTCCACTCGTCATAAATCAGACCCGAAGCTCGGCTCCTGCGGCTTTCCGCAGCCGGTTCATCACCGCCGCGGCCAGGTCACCTTGCTGATCAGGCACCCCCTCGACGTAGATGACATCCACCTCTACTTCATCCATTGCCCGCAGCGCCGAGAACAGCCCCTGGGCGATCGACTTGATGTCCGCGCCGAGATGGCAGTCGAAGGTCTGTTTCGTCACCACACAAGCCTTGATCTTGTCCTCAACGGGGACAGGGAACGAGACCAGATTCTCCATCAAGCTTTCGACGGGTTTCACGCCGCTCTGGATCTCCTCCTCCGAGACGAGTCCCAGCCCCTGCTTCCAGTTGCGCGTACGCACCACCCCGATGCTATGCGCGCCGACCGCCGAGTCTTCCAGGTCCTTGCGGATGTGGTTTCGGATGCCCTCGTCGGTGGATTCGGGCTCGAAAAGAACCACCCGAGCTTTGGGGGAGTAGTGTCGGTACTTCATGCCCGGCGCACGGGGCACCTCTTTCACATCGAGCGTGCCGTCGTGGTAGCCGACCTGCACATTCTCCCATCCCGGGCATTGTCGCAACTCCTCGATGCCGATGCCCCCGGGACGGAGGATCGCCGGGGGATCCGAGAGCCCGTCGATGACTGTGCTTTCGACTCCGACTCCACAAGGGCCCCCGTCGAGGATGAGCTCGATGCGGCCTTGCAAATCATGGTGTACGTGCTCTGCGGCTGTCGGGGACGGTTTCGTGGAGGCGTTGGCCGAGGGGGCCGCGAGTGGTCGGTCTGCGACATGGATCAACAAACGGGCCAGCGGCGACGATGGCATCCGGACGCCGAAGGTAGTGAGGTTCGAGGTGACTTCGTTCGCAAGGGGGGATCCGGAGGGGTTCGGAACGAGGATCGTGAGAGGACCGGGCCAGAAGCGGGAGATGACCGAGTCGTAGATGGCGGGGAGCTTGTTCTGAGCAGTGCTCGTGACCCGCGTGGGACTGTGATGGACGGGGTTGAGGATGCGCTCCAACATGCCAAGGGAATCCACGTGGATAATTAACGGGTTGTCGGATGGCCTCTGCTTGGCCTTGTAGATCCCCTGCACGGCGTCACTGCGAGTGGCATCGGCCCCTAATCCATACACTGTCTCTGTGGGGAATGCGACGGGGATGTCGCTCGTCTGCAGAAGCTGTGCAGCTTCTTCGATCGCAGCCGCTTCGGGGGTGTTGTTGTTGCATTCATCGGCCCACCATTGCGCGAGTGACCGCTCACCAGGACCTTCCTTGTTGAGTCGGCGAACCGACACGATCCGCGTGTCTAGCTTGGGAGACATAGTGGCTGTGGTGGTAAAAGAGGAAGAAGAAGCGATCCGGACAAAGCTGCGCGGGAATCCGCCAGCGAGAAGACGAGAGAGGAACAACACCACTTTGAACCGACAAGAGGGATATCAATTGATATCCGAGACCATAAGGGAGAAAGAATAGGCTAGTCGCGGGGTTGGGTCAATATGGTCGACAAAAATTCTCCAAGTGGGGAGGGGTAAAGAGTCACAAGGGTGCAAGATTATTCGTTCACTCTTTCACATATGTCAGATTGGATCCAATTTCTCCTGGCTCCTTTCCCCACTGGACTGATTCGGCCCGAGGGACTGTCTGGCTGCTAGGTAACAGCGCAGTCTAATGTCATTTCTCGATGACTCGAGAGAGACTTTCGCGCCAAAAAAATTCGCGATGACGTCGGCTGCCTGGTGACTAAGCGCAGGCATCCAGGCCTGGTCCGGTTTCTCCCTCTTCTAATCAGCCAACTTGCAGTCATTCTAGTCTGACATTCGATTATTCTGATATCATCTTACTCCTAGCCCAGCCTTATATTATCATCTTCTAATTTGCCACAAGATGGGTCCAACCCCGCCAATGCTTGTTTCTCTGTATGGGCACGTCATTGGTGTTACAACAAGATGAGCCATGGACTGGGCGGCACATCCATATCAACTGTAATCCACACGAATCATCTATGCAACATAAGAAATTGATATCATCGAACCTGATAGACGAAGGCATTGAGTGATCGAAGTGCTCTCTGAGCATGTCAAAAGAAAGGAGACAGTCATAGTAACAAGGAAATGTCCAGGGATTGTTCTATAACAGAGTTTGGTTTCTAGTCACTATGGAGGAGTGCACGGTCCTAGTTCCGTATCTGTGCGCATGGAGATCATGTCATCCGAGCATTTGTTCATCTCTGAAGGGAATCGAATGGTCGAGGATTAATCGCTCAAAACCTATTTCTTCTTTCCTCCTTTACCTCCTTTGTTTCCGCCGCCGCCACCACCACCACCTTTCCCTTTGCCCTTATCACCTCCGCTGGCCCCTGCACCAGTCATGATTCGTACCTTGCCCACAGGGACTGAGTTAATGATCTCAGTATCCTTCCACCCCTTGATCAACTCGCCTTCACGCTCGCGGAGCTTCTCGGCTGCTGCCCGATTAATGCCAGCGTCCTCGGCATGCTCCTTTTTGACCTTGCCAGTCGTCGTTTCGGCGACCCATCGTCCAATGATCTCCTTGACAGCCTTTCCCTTCTTCACGGTACCGGGCTGCAACTTGATCTTGTATTTGTACCGACTCAGGGCAGCCCAGGGAGCGCACACCGGGATGGCCGCGAGGATGTCATCGTCAGGATGAGGCGTTCCGATCATGGCAGGAATCCATTCGAGATCCGCAGCTTCCGCGGCGGCCGTCTCCTCATCGTAGTCGTCAGCACCCCCTTCGAAGAGAGCCTGTCGTTTGCGCTCGGCCTCCGCTGCTCGCTCATGCTGGGCTCTGCGACGCTTCTTCTGAGCCTCAGCTTCCTGCTCACGCTTGGCTTTGACTTCAGCCTCTGCGGCGGCCTTGGCGGCCTTCTCGCTATTCACGCCCAGCAAGCGGAGTGCCAGCTCCCGCTCGTCTTCGTCCTGGTCTGCATACTTAGCCGCAGCCTTCTTTGCCTTGCCCTTCTTGCCCCGTGTAGAGCCCGCTTGCTTGGTGTTTGTAGGTTTGGCCGGTGCGCCGTTCGACCCCGGCTTCTTTGCGCTCTCGTCGGCTTCCTTGGGCGTGGTTTCCTGGGAGTCGAGTGGCTGTCCTTTTCTGAGAAGACGACGTTCTCGAGCGGAAAGCTGTCGCTTGCCCTGATCTTGAGAGGAGGCCAAGCTTTCTTCCGGCAGAGTCTCATTCGCAGCTGTCGTCTCCTTTTGAGGGGACTGCTCCTCCCGCTCTCCCTCCTCGGCATTTTCGTCATCCGACGGACTGTCATGAGCATCGTTAGAGTTGCCGGCTTCCGCTTGAGCTGGCTCAGACAGTCCCCGTTGGAGCGGGTTTCTCTCTGTAATAGCCTTATCTTCCTCAGCTTCTTCATCCGAGTCTGAGACCTGCTCCTGCTCCTCTGGTTCATCGGGGTTCTCAGGTTGATCAGCTTCCGCCGTCTCGGATTTCTCTTCAACAGGCGCTTTGCCTTCCGCTGCTGCGGCGGGAGCACCGCCTTCCTCGGCGATCGGCTCCGCAGCCGCAGGCTCGTCGAACTGGCGTAGCTTGTGGTTCCGTAGACTCTCTTTGCTAACCTGGAACATGACCGCGAATCCTAGGACAAGCTGGGAGGGGGCCAGGAAATTCTTCTCGCCCTTGATGACGAACTCGCCAGTAGGGACAAGACCACCCACCTCAGCGGTTTTGGAGACTTGGCTGGCATTGACCCAGTAAGCGGACATGATTGCCTTGGAATCCCAAGCACTCGATGTAGCAACACATAGATTTCCAGCTTGAGAGAGTGTGCTCGGGGGGATGGGCGCGTTGGGCGTGCCCGCTCTGTTCTTGACGATCATCGGCGTAGCACCTTGAAGGTCTGCATGCACGAAGACATCGCCTTTCTTGAGGTACCGCCGGTATAGCATCTCGCTCTGCATAGCATCACGGCCACTAGTCCTAGTCAGAATAGATAATTCAAGATGTCTGGGGAAAAAATACTTACCCGAGAACCAGGTATCCCTCAGAAGAGACGAAGAAGAGGAACTTCTCGAACCAGAAAAGCTTTCTAGCCGGGCGAAGAACCTGCTTCTCTTGCTTCAGGTTCCGTTTGAGATCCTGCGTGACTTTCTTCTCGTGGCTCTTGAGCGCCTTGGCAGAGGATTGCGTCGTCCGCTGTTCCTTCACAGCGGCCTGTTTCTTCTGCTCGTAGTATTGGGTCGCATTCGCCCATGGGGAGAGCCCAAGATCGATGTCAACCACCAACACATCGGCCCTCTTCTCAAAATTCTCATCTTCCTCCTTCTCATCCTCCGACTCGGACTCGTCTTCGTCATCCGAAAAGAGCTCCTCGCCGTCACCTTGCTCCTCATCGCCAGCCTCTCCCAGAACCAACGTGATTGTGTTCTCATGAAGCTTGAGAGGCAACTTGATAATCCTCGCAACGGGGTTACCTCGGCTCTGTTCCATCTCGATCAGGCGCGCGATTTCCACCCAGTCCATTCCTTGCGCAATCAGACCATTGACCGCATCCATGGCCTCCTGCACACGGTAGACATTGTCCTCGATAGCGGCCGCCTTCCGGATATGCAAGCCCTGGACCTCCTGCAGGGCACCGATCCTCTTCGCATGCTCCTGCCGGACAGCATCCAACTTCCTCTTCGCGGCCTCCTCACGCTCCGTGAGCCGCGACTCCAGCTTCTGCGACTCGATGGAAGAGAAATACTCATCGACGGTCTTGTTGAAGTTCTCAAACTCCAAGATCGTGACGCCGGGCTTGCCCTCAAACTGGCGCGGCTTAAACGGATGGAAATCCTCATACAGGAGCGCCGGCGGCTTCTTGCTCGAGGCGTCCCCGGCATCCTCCCCCTCCTTCTCATCCGCAGCCCCCTTCGCCTTGGGCCTCGTATCCTCCTTCGCAACAATATACCCAGGATGCCCCTGCCCAACGGACAATCTATCCGTCTCTCCCTTCGCCACCTCCAACACCTCGACCACCCGTCCCAACAAATCCCCATCCCCACCATCGCTCAAAACCTCCTCCAACGGCGTCGCCGGATCCAACCCCCTCACCGCAAAAGCATGATCCAGCAACAGCGGCGGATACTCGGGGAACCCCTGCGACAGCGCCTTGCGCAGCACATCCGTATTCTTCTTGCGGGACTTCTTCGGCGCGGCATTACTGCCCCCTTCCGCCGCAAACAGCTCCCTCGCCTTCTCCACCGTCTCCCGCACCCGCTGCGTCGTGATGGCCGGCACCCCGTGGTAATTCTGCTTGTTGTCGACCGCGTACCGCATCCCGACGCGCGTCTCCTCCTCCTGCCCGTCGCCCGCCGCGACCTGCCGGAACAGCGCGAGGATGGTGTACTCCCGGTCGGTGAGGATGATGTTGCCGCCCGCAAAGAACTCGAGGAACAGGTGGTACTGGCCGTCGCTGAAGGCAAAGTCGATGACGCGGTCCGTGCCGAGCTGCTGGACGGCCGTCACGCGCCGCGACTTCAGGAACTTGCGCAGGCGCGTGACGAACGGCGACGGCGCCGAGGCCGTCGCGCGCGAGTACTGCGTCACATGGCAGCGGAAGCCCGAGTCGACGACGAGCTGTTTGCGGTGGTCGGGTTTGGCGAGTTTGAAGAGGAAGATTCTCTTTTTTTGGTGGGACAAAGAATTAGATGGATTGAAGCTGGGATCTTAGGGTTGGGTTGCAGGGGGGGAAACTTACCGAGGAAAGATCGTAGATGTTCGACACTCGTAGGTTGACGAGTTCCGAGGCGAGTTCCTGGGTGACGACCTACACAAGTACAGTACATCGGTCAGATACGTGGGTGGGAGTTGGTCCGGGGGAAAGAGAGGGTGCAAACTCAAAAAGGTGAGGACAGAACACAACAGACCTTGACATCCAACGAAGAGAATCTTTGCTTCATCTTGGGGTATTAGTGTATTGATTGGTCCCCCAGAATCTGTTAATTAGTGGTGCGCTCAGGCTGAGGGAGGAGGGAAAGAAAGTGATTCGATAAGTCCAAAGAGTGCTTGCTGAAAATTGTCCCTCTCGGACGGCGGAGAGAGCGGGCGTGACGTATGCGGGGCTGGATCTCGCCTACCTAGGTATGGTTTGTATCGCTTTTCCATTGTATTCGAACGTTATCTTCTTAATGAACTCCGCACGTGCGCGTTCTCATCTGCTTCACTCGGTGCTATATTCTAATTAGGGCAATGGCACCTTTTGCACATTAAGCATTTTATTCTATTTCAGTAACTTTGGCCAGGAATTCGTCCACACTCAGCTCCCATTACCGCAATCAAGCGCTCGCATTATTCACTCACGCGAAAAGAACATTTATAGGAGTATCTATAATAAGTCAAATCCCCGCAAAACAGAGGTTTCATCAAAAAGAACGATATCTCTTTCGAGAAGAACATTGTAAAAAAAAAAGTATATCATGCGGATCAATACAACGCCAGGACCAGCCAGAGAACATAAACAAGACACATTAGAAAAGAAGCCGACAGAATCACGTCCTCATGCATGAGTATCAAAACACCAGTACATCACTCTTGTCGCCCCCGTTTTTACATCTGCCGCAGACCCTCCGCCAGACGGCGCTTGCCCAGCTCCCACGCATTGAGCAGACCCTGTTCCGACAAATCGATGCTCTTCAAGTTGGGCGCATCGGGGGCGGGGGCGCGGCTCACGCGCGAGGCGATCAGCACGGGGTCCGTTTCGAGGATGATACCGTCGTCGATGATCTCGTCGATGGCCAGGGCGACCAGGTCGTAGTTCTCGACGATTGTGCGCTTGTCGGTGGCACCCCTGCAGACCAAGAAAAGTGCCGTGTTAGTCGCCGCTCATTGGCCCGTGGGGGAATGATGTTTGAAGGGGGAAACGTACTTGAATAAGATCCCGAGAGCATCCCGCAGAGACAGGACAACGTTGTAGAGCAGGACTTCGTTCTCATCGGCGCTGCCAACCACGTAGAGCATCACGTCGCTCTCCATCTTGAACACCACGATCCGGTTGTCGTAGAGGATCACATCACTGGTCTGCTTGTTCGTCTTCTCGAGGAGGCCCTGCTCGAAGGCCTTCTGCTCCTTCAAGGTGGGATAGGGGTTCGCTCCGGGATAATCGGTCGAGTTGGGGGCAGTGCCGGCCGGGGGGTGAGGAGGGGAGTAGTACTTGGCGAAGATGCGGGACCCGTCGTCGGCCGACATGAGAAGGACGGCATTGACGGAGAACAAGGACAGAGAGCCGGGCATGGTGGGCGAATGGACCAGAGAACGACTGGTTTCGAGGATTGGGGTGAGTGGTGACTGCTCCGATAGGACTTACACCTCCGTACTACTATTTACAAGCTGGCCGCAATCCGGCCGCCGCGTCAATGTTTCTCCGGCCTACACTATACAATGAAGCAACGGCGACCTGTACCAACAGTCACTTCGGCTCAAGCAGGATCTCGATTTCATCTTCATTCACCAACATATACCAATAGCTCTCTGAGGGCTTTTTGTCATCATGGTTGAAGATTTAACAAGCTCTATGGAATATAGTTAGGAGGCTAAGTCACTTCTGATGATGAGCAGCTCGGTACCTTTCACCTCAATTTATGTCTTCGCCGTCCTCCAAGAGGCACCATCTTAGAGCTGAAGAGGCTTACCGGACAGCTAGCGAGGGAAGGCCCACATTATCTAGGAAGAAAGGAATCCACTTGGAACTCAGTAGGATTTCACAGTCTGGGATCGAACACTTATTTCACCGATCGTCTGGCCCTGGCTGGTGCTTTCGAACTTGAGTACGCCTTCCTGAGCATCGAAGATCACTTTGATCTCAAAATCAAGGTTCTGTGTTAGTTTCCAGTCGATAACTTTGGTCTGGAAACGGGAATAGATCCGTGCTGGCAAAGTCCGTTATGATCTTGCCAACGGGATAGATACCTATGACATAGAATCAGATTCTCAGTCAACCGATAATCTACTGTCAGAGCTGCAGAGGTCCACGGGCTGTAGTTGGTTGGAAAGTAAGTGGCAGAGGCAAGTTGGCAGTTATTGGAGCATCTTTTTTATGCGTTACCCCGGCTTTGTGCACGTGTTTCCGCAGCCCACCGTAAGCTACCACTAAGGCGTTTGTCCTGACATGGACTGCAGGCAACCGTCAGAATGCGAAGCCTCAGATTGCCCATAATATCGCCTCGAATGCAACGATCCGACATCGGGGTATGTTAGAGTGACCTAACCTACCTCGAAAGCTTCGAGTATGAACGTGTGTTCTGTCGCAGGTATAAGTCTATCGTGTTGGCAAGGGAACGCAAAGTGGACACACATGGGCTATAGCTGAAGACAGAATGTCATAAAACTGAGTTCCTATCTACTCTATAGTACAAGAATTGAAGCGCCAAGTGCCAAGCACATCAGAAAAGGGAGAACAAGCGGGGCCTCGTAAAGCACGTCCATTCCACTCGCGATAGGGAATGTATATAAGCGCAATTGTATGTAAGTATGTTCGTCAAAACAATGAGGGGCATGATTCAATAATGGTAGGGTGAATTTCGTTGGCCATCCCAGTATACAATAGTGTTGAAGAAGCGAGTGACCTTAAAGACAATTTCCCATATAGCCAGGGCATTCATCACATCATTCCGGTTCAAAAGGGTGTGTGGGTCGTCTATCACATAACCAATAGCAGAGAAAAGTAAAACAAAGCATCTTCTCTTTCAGAAAGCGGGGTTGGGTTGCGAAAAGCGCCAGACTTGCCAGCATGAACTGAGAGCAAGCTGGGCCCATAACCAACTCGAACACCATGATGATGATCAACACCAAAAGAAATGAGGTAAGGGCGGGAGACAGTAAGATGGTGACTGCCGGAGAAGTATCCCAGAAAGGTCAGGCAGGTAGAAAAACTGGAAAATAAGGCAAGCGAGCAGGTCAGAAGTATTAATGAAGAGATACTGATGTTTCCTCATGCAATCGGGTCTTTCGACTTGATCATGAGGTAGGTACTCGGGCCTGAGATTGCCAGGGCATCAGTTCAATCAGATAGGAGATTGGCTTTCGCCGCTGGTAGGCGGGCGGTTGAACCAAGGAATCCAGCTTCCGCGGTTGGCCTTCTTCCGAGCAGCCTCCTCCTCCTCTGCCAGTCTCGTGGTTTCGCTGACGAGACGCAACGGACGCAACTTGTTCTGCGTCATCACGGCGCCCGTGTAGTTAGTCATGCCGTTGCTGGAGCGCGGGGAGCTGGAGGTAGCGCCCGTGGAAGCGGTCTCCGCGGCATGGTCGCTAGTGATACTATCTGAGCTGCTCAAGCGACTATGCTCCGGCTGGCTTGAAAGCGAAGGCGCACGGCTAGCACTCATGCTGGACATGTAGCTTGCGTTAGAGAAAGCGCTCTGGCGTGACCCAGGACCCATCAAGGTAGGGCTGATAGGGCCACCCGAGTTCCGGCCCCGATACATCTGTCCAACGACTGCTGCAACATTGACATCAGTTTGCTCGGATCTAGTCCGGCGGTGACCCCGAATTGACTGGGCACGCAGAGGGATGCTAGGGGCCGTCTCCGGGTTTTCGTGGGCGGTGGGCACACTGGTCGGAGGTGGCATATAGCTGGTGGGGCGTGACCGGGGCTGGGTCTGAGGACGAGGAATGTTGGAATTCGGTCCGCCCGCGACAACCGATTTAGCCCGCTGGAGGAAGGTCTGCGAGGAAGGATCCTCTTTCTCCATAGGAGTGGGAGGCAGATCCTTGTTGTGCCCAACAGGAAGTCGCTTGGCGGGCGGATCGTTCTCATTCTTGTCGAGTATAGTCTCGAACCCGTCATGCTGCAGGAGGCGGCTGATGATCCGCTCGATGTACAGAGTCAAGGCCTTGTTCTGGTCCTTGAGCGCCTTGACTTCGGCCTCGAGCTTGCGCGTGTTGTCCGTTTCAGCTCTTGCATCTACAGACTCAAGCTCATCAGCCAGCGAACCCAAACCGCTGCCCGCGTCCTTGGTCTCGTCTGCAGTATCAGGATGGACTTCACGCATGAAATCACCCTTTGTAAAATCGCCATTCAAGGTTCGCTCACTCAGAAGCAACTGGTAACTCTCATTGTCCTCCATCAAGCGAGCGTTGGCCATGCGAGCTTCCAGAAGCTCCTTCTCGAGTTCCCGCTGTCGGCCGCCGCCTTGGTTCTCCATCTCCACAAGCTTAATCTGAGACTCGGCCAATTCGAGTCTAAGGGATTCGATCAGCTTATCCTTCTGCAGCAGCAAGTTCGAGTTGTTTCGCGAGGGGCTCCGCTCGATCTGAGAAGAGGGCGCAAACTGTCCGTCGAGATCGGGAGACGACCGATTACGGAAACTCGCTATGAAAATGTCAGGAAATGTCAAATGGGGCGAGAAAGAGTCAGGAATATCTCTTACATGAGCGAGACATGTTCTTGTCTGCATCGGAGTTGATCCGCTCTTTCTGAGCTAACGACTCCTTCAGGCGCTGAATAGTCGCCTGCATCTCCTCTTCCCGGCTTGCTTGTTGCTCCTTCTCCTGCAGCATGGCATTCCGCTCTTGTTCATGGGCCTGCTCCATATCGCGAATTTGGCGCACATGGTCCCGGATTTCGCCGTTGAGCGCATCGAGCTTGCTGTCCTTCTCGTGCGCCTGGTCTTCTAATTTGCCTTGCTCGCTAATTGCCTCGTCGAGTCGCATTTGGAGGACACCTAATTGCTTCTGATATTGTTCCGAGGCCGTTTCGGCCTTCTGCAACTGTTCCTTCAGGTCGTCAATAAGTGCCGCATTCTGAGCTCGTGCCTCCTCGTCGGAGGGACTTGGTGAGATCTTTGGGGCACTTGACGTGCTGAGGTTGGAGCGGCCTGGCTTCCGGGCTGCAGCGCGCGCAGAGACGGGCGTAGACGAGCGCAGGGAAGGAGAACGAGTGACGCCATTTGTTGTAGTGCTAGGAGAGCGAGAATGGGTTCTAGAAGGTGTTCCATTGACTGCCTGGTTTTCAGTGGTCGA